GGTGAGCACTGCCCGGGGGGAGAGGGGCTGGGAACAGCCTGGGATGCCACTCATGTTTCAGTTACTAAGTCACAGAACACCAATATATGTTAACATGTACTGTCTTGTTATACAGCGTTAAAACATAATGTCGTCATCGTCGCAGTCATCCTCATCTCTACCTGTACATAACTGTATTGCTCCTTTATTGGACTTTGATCTTCAGGAAAAGGTTATTCTTCCTCATGCTACCGAGGCAAGTTCATTATGTTCCTGTTAGGCCTGATTTTTTGAATTCTATTTACTTTGTTGGAAAGATTCAAAACATGCTTCCTAGCTGTGGATGGGAAGTAGGAGATATTTCAAAACACTGGTAAGTGACAGTGTTGGGCATAGCAACAGCATACTGAAACTATGGGAAAATCCTTATTTGTTCTTTTCTGCTTACATAGATGGGCTATGACAAATGAAGCATGATCATGAATGATCATGGTGAATGAAGCATCTTCTAAGATGCTGTTTTCATTGGAAGTAATAATTTGAGAACTTAATTTTGGTTATATATCCAAGAAAAAGCTGCAGACCGTTGCACTGTGTTACCCATGTTGAGGTCTGCCAGGAAATCTAAGTCTGTAGTAAAACATCACACACACACACACACACACACACACACACACACACACACATGCATGCAAAATAAAAATCATTAGATGTTTGGAGCATACTTATTTGCCTTATTTGCCTTATGACAACAGTTGGAAGCAGAGAAGTTTGCATTCTGATTGTGTGAGGAAGTTATTATTTCAGTTAGGAATTTCCCAAATTCTGTTACCCATTTTCTCAACTGTGCAAAGGAAAATATCGATGCAAGAATATAAACTCTTAGTCTGACAAATCCTTTTGATGGAATTGCATGTGGCACAGACTGAGCACAGGAGAAATGGGTCCTGGTGGGTGGAGAGGGCAAAGCAATCCACTCTGAAAAATAATGTGTAGTCAGTAAGTCACTGAGTAAACAGGTAACTTTGTGCTTGGTGAGTGCATCAGTCATGCTGGAGTGTGCAGATAGAGGCTGGAGAGAGGTGTTTGGAGAAGGGATGAGGATGAAAACAGGTTCCTGGTGCTTGGAAGTGGGGAATGGTATGCATTTAGGTACTTGAATTGAGGTCCATTTACTGACTTTACAGATAGGCTTGGGATCAAGATTACAGAACAGTATGAGGAATTCCATGCAGGTCAGGATAAGATGGAGGAGTTATAGTAAAACTTTTGATGCCAAAGATTCCAGCTTGAGTCAGTAGGTTTATCCCCTCGTTAGTGAAATTTAAATGTTTGGGATTTACAATCTGAAAGTCACACGTCTATTTTTTAAAAAATAGAAAGTTACACACATGCACACCCATTTGGACATTTTAAAATCACAACTTTAGCTGCAGTATCAAATTGAATTTCTAGTGAGAGGTAATGTAGGTTGCTTTTGCAATCTTCTAGCCTATGCTTTCTGGTTCAGTCTTCAAATTCTGCTGTCTAACTGAGGTTCTTGGAAGGCTTTTAATATTTAATGTAGTCTTTGAAATGTTATGAGTCCTACAAATGCTTTTACTATTTGATGATGTGCTAAAATAACAATTCAGAGTCCTTTTAGGTTAAATAAAGAAAGAAATCTTGTATGGAATAACTCTAGTTTGTTTTCTTCAGCTAAAAAGTTCTGTGAACAAAATAAATTGAATCTTTTGGGTTTAAACCACCAGCTAAGTAGCTTGTGAGTATGTGAGCTTTTATATTCATATGTACCAAACTTGGAAATGTAGCAAATTATATGTAACCTTTAAAACTTTGGAAAAAATGCTAAATCAGTTGTCACTGGAAGTAATTTTCAATGTTTCCTGTGTTGCAGTTGAACAGTGTAAACATTGACACTTTGATGCAGAAGCTAAGTGAAAGTGAAACACAAAATACTGTAAGTAAATTAAAATTTGATTCTTTATCTTCTCTACTGTAAATCTGAAATTGGCTACATCACAGGGTCATACAATGTCCAGTGGCACTGGCAAAGTAGAAGTTTTTGTGGTTTATCATCACAAAATGATGTTTTAAGGTAGTAATGTTCAGTTTTAAGTTAGTAATGTTCAGTTAGTTTTAAGGCTGTAATGTTCATCAGTGTGCATTACTGTTGCATTGTTGTGTACAGGCATTCAAATATTTTCTCTGAGTTGGTTTTTTTTTTCCATGAAGAATCTCAGGAGAAAAATACTGGAAAGGGAGAGAGAGGTTCAAGAACTTTCATCCATGCTTCGCCGTGAACAAGTGAGTGACCAGTTCTGTTGGAATTAATGTTTTCTTCCAATGTACTAGATTCTTAATTAGAAAACTTAAATTCCGAGGAAAGCAATTATTCAACGATCTATAGAGAAAGGGAAAACCTGACAGATGTTTCCTAAAGAAATATCTTAAAACTATCAAGACCATATGCAAAGCTATTAAGGATACCAGTGATCCTCAACAATAATGTCCCAAGGTTCAGGGAGGGGCACACATCTGGACTAACGGCTTTTGACTTCTCATTTGCTGATTTGCAATAGTTCTGGATAAAAAGTAATTAAAGGAAGTAATGTGGAGTAAACTAAGCAGACAATGTTCTTTTAGTCTATACTGATACGTTTTTCTTCCTGATTACTTCTTATTTAGTATGAGCCAAAGGAATAAAGTTGCAATAAATTTCATAGAATCATCTGGCCTGAGTTCTGGTGACATAAATTGCCTTTTTCCTTATGATTTATGTATCACCCCCAAAATTAGAGTTAAATGTAACAATAATTCTATTAGCAGGTGGAACTTAATGAAGACCAGTTCAGGCCTAATTACACAGAGCACAGCTGATCAGTGTGGCTTAATTTTGGTCATCCTGCTAGCTAGGATGCTTTGCTCAGCCTGGATTTCTGAATTTGTGCTTCCAGGCCTTTCTCATACTACTCAGAGTCAGATTAAATACAAGACATAAAGTACACGTACGTTGTTCCAAGTTTGTGATTTCGGTTTGACATTACTACTATTTGTAGCAAGTTGCTGCATGTGAATTTACTTGTAGAGCAGTTTTATCTTTTCCAGCTTTTGAGAACATTCAAATGTCAGTTAGAAACTACAGCAAAGTAGAAAAAAATATAGATGGCATCATACAGCATATCTCCATAGGCCAGTGAATTTGTGTTTGTTTCTCTTTCTTAGATCAATGTGCAGAAAGGAGACTACGTGTCAAGTTCAGTAAAGGCAGTACAAGCTCACCTGCAGCGTCAGATTCAAAGAAAAGAAGCAGAAAATAATGAATTAAAAGTGAAAATACAGGTCAAAATATTTTTACTTGTGTTTCAGTTTCTTGGAAAAAATAGGAAAGCCTTACTGTGGTCAGATTTGAAATCAAATTCATGGTAAAAGGAAAATCCCAAACAGTGAAAATCATAAGGATTTATATATTGAACAGTCTGCCTGACCACACTAACTTAATTGCTAAGTGGTTTGGGTTTTTTTTCTTCTTTTCTCAACTTGTGCACACTAGCAGTTCTGGTGAAGCAAAGTTAAACATAGTTGCTGTGTAGAAGACAGGTATCAATCCTGAGGGAGTCTTCAGGATGAGTTTCTGTTCTAAGATAAGGGTGATGAACCACACCCTCTGCTTATTGACTGATAAGGAATCAATAAACTTCTAAATACTGATTGAAAGTGAAACACTTAAGACTAATGCCTAACCTCACTTTGTTTAAAGTAGGTTAAATTATTTTCATTTTATGCTCTAAAAAGCAAGAGGTCAATTTGGGCATTTGCATCAGTTACTGGCTTTAAGACAAGGCAAGGAAGAGGTTGTGTGTCAGAAGCTGGAGCTGTGCATGACCTCAGATTTCAGTATTTGAAACTTATCAGGGACATAGGCATGAATGAGAAAACATTGGCTAAAAATAATTGTTTCTAATTTCCAGACTTTTTTACTAGCATACATCCCCTGTTAATTGTGTAATTGAAAATTGTTAAGTAGCCTATATGAACTCAGTATCAGTAAAAGCCATATATGTCTATGTCTGCATAAACACCTCATGCTTTCTTCTAAATAAAAATTGCTTTCTTGTTCTACCTAGTACAATTATAGAAGTCCAACAACATTTTCATTAGATAAAATATCATGGTATACAACTGCATTTTCATTCAATCTTTGTTTAAAAGTTTTGTTTGCTTTTCAGAACGTGCTGAAATCAGTTGCTGGCATAAATCCCGGGTTTGTTACTATCTAGACAAAAGCTTGCAAAAGCTTAGCATTGCCCTTATGAAATTAGTTCTCAATTCAAATTTACCTCAGGCACTGACTAATGCCCAAAGCACTTATTCGTAGTGTGATTGTGACCTCCTGCGGTTATAACAGGGGATGACAGTTGTTTGCTTAGACCAACAGCTAAAGGAATCCATGCATGGCTCAGATTTTCCATTGAAGGTGTTCATCCACCACCCTCTCAAGTCACATTTTTGTTTATTAGGTGCCCTGTAAGCATCTGTATAGGAAAACTACTTCCTACATATTTGGGGGTTTTTGTCATTTCATTTTTTGAAGTAGTACCTTTACTTTTTGTTGAATCCCAGTACCTGAGACCACCTTTTTCTTGGCAAAGCACATACATTTTGCATTGACTGTGTAAAAATTTTGAGACCATTAGCAGGACTTATACTGAGAGATCCTCTCATGCATAATATCCTATTTTCTGGGCACTGGCAAAGAGTATCTTGAATAAGGCTGGCACATGAACACAGTCAGTAGCTGGGTAGTAGGTCTTTATTCATGTAGAACATAAATAAGTGACAGACCTAGACTACAATGAAGTAAACAAATGCATTAATCATTCTCACAATTAGGATACTTATCACTGACTTGAGAAATTTATTTACACTACTGGCCTATGTACATTGCTGTAGTTTGGTGGAAGAGTAATAAGTGTTATGATGGAACTTACACTTGTCTTTATGAAAGCAGTTGTCTACTGGTAGCTTGGAGATGTTTTTGATAAGTGGATCTGAGATTCTCCTTGAAGCAGAGTCTGGTTTTGCTTTCATTGTACTGTTTTAATGTCTATTTTTCCCCCCCATTCATATTTATGTAGTATGTAGATGAAAAATACAAAAGTCATGAAGTTAGAGAGGTCACCTTCCTGGATGGGATGGGATCAGCACACTGCCTTCGTTAGAGTGATGTAAAAAGCTAGTTAGAAATAATGACAGAAATAGAGAAGATAATATAATGGCAGATGTAAAACCCATCTCTCATCTTGACTGCTTTGTACACCTTTGATAATATAATTAAATTATTAAAATACAGTGCACATCTATTTTATTTCCTGAGTGTTGCAAAATCAATCACTCAGGAAATTATGTTTGGAAGTTGTCCTTACTATGTGTGATTTACCAGTGTGGTTCAAGCTTTGTCATAGCCTGTTTTAATTACCTTTAAACAATTGTATGCTGTGGGCAAGGCAGAGCTAAACCTTTTCTTTTTGTGTTTTCTGCTTCACTGTCTATAAAAAACAGTTTCTTCACTAAGGAAACCTGTTTCATTAATAGAGAGGGGCCCTTTTAAGCATGGGAAAAATCCAGAGATCTTTCAAGAAAATAGTATGTTGTCTTCCAATCACAGAACGTATCATAACATATATTCAAGAAAAGACCCCAGCCATTCCTAGTTTCTTGACTTTAACGAAAAACCAAATCCAAGATACTTTCATTTTAAAATTTCTTGTACACTCATACTGCTTATCTCCAGCCCTAGTAATGTGTCACTGTAGATTCAGAGCACATATTTTAATACATCAGTGCATATCACTGGTGGCATCATTAAGGTGATATTCTTTAAAGAAATCAGTCTCTAGGGATGATGAAACCATTTGATTTTTCTCCTCATAAATGTGTTTAACATCCATGCCATGCCTTCCACATTGAAATTCTGCATCCATTTCTGAGAGCACACAGCAATGGTTAGATTGATGTCTTTCCCTCTACTCCTGTCTGTTTCTTCACCTCCTCAGCCTCTTCTCTTGATCTTTGAAATGAGTTTCCCAACAGGTATTTTCTCTTGCCTCCTGTTGTACATATCTCAGCTAGCTCCTTCTATCAACCAGAAAGTTTGAGATGCAAAGACATTATAGAAACAGATTATATATGTAACTGCTATTCCTGATTATGTTATATCACAAATTATCTAAAAGGTTTAGAATTTGAAGACTTAATGTTTAATTATGCTGCAGACTCTAGAAAAGAAAATAGCAGGGTGGAAACATCAAGTTGGTGAATACAAGCACCAGATGATTGCCTTAAAGGAAACAAGTGAACCAAAGAAGGCTGGACTGAAAAAAGCAGTCAGGTCCCAGAAACAAAGAGCTCAATGCTCTGAAGAAGCTGTGAAAAATTTAACCTCCAAAACAAGAGAACATGTGAGTGACTATGCTGTGAGCAGTGTTGTGCTGTATTGTTTTAAACTGAGCATTTGGAACACTGTCACCTGTGGAAAATTGAAGAAGTTGTTTGGTCATGCTGTGCTTGTATCTCTTTTATTATGTTGCTCCTTCGTTAAGGAAAAAAATTGCTATAAGTGACATGCAAAGTGTTACTATTCACTGCCTTTGTTTTGTTAAAATTTAGTGAATGTCTGAAGTGATGAGGTTGTACACTTCAAACTGAAGTAAGTAAGAGGAGTCTGATCAGCTTTTGGTGAAATCTCTCCTGGTCTTCCTGTTAGTCCTTTAAGGGTAGGCACTGACTAACAGTACAGTAACAGAATCCATGATTGGGTTTTGAAGTCTTAGTTTTCTCTGTGAGTGTATGACATCTCATGTTGTTACTTCACTTTCTGTTTCTAAGCTGCTTGCTCTGAACCTTTTCAAAATCCACATACAAACCTTCCTTAATCCAAACTGTTCCATGGAATCTTGCTCTGCCTATCCATACAGTTTGTAAGTGTTCAGAAGTAGTCAGGGGGTCAGAACTGTGCTTATTGCCCTACTTAGATTTCCTAATGAGTCTGTTTTCATACTCTTAGACATGTTGCAATCATTTTGTATATGTATTACGGATATATTTATGCTGTTAGTGTACCAGGAGATGGTTAATCATGTTTTGGTTTTCTTTGGTCTTTGTGAGGAGACAGCAGTGAATCTTTAAGTACAATTAGCAGTACAGAAGGACAGCAACTAACTCCTGAACTTCTGGTGTTTCAAGATAGCACATGTTGGTTAATTATCTGTACCTCTTTGAGCACCTTTACCTAACTTTTCATTTCTTACCTAGATAGTATTTTTTATTCTAAAAATATTTTGGCATGGTTTTATTTTATTGTCGATTTATGCAATTTATTTGTAGTTGAGATGTATCAAATCTTTTTTCTGTAAGAAAAGCTTGTCGTCTTAAATTCTGAAATACTGTTGTATTCTACAGTTGATATACAGTGCCAGTGTTTAACTGTGTCTCTGCTTTGAAAGTAAGTCTGTACTTAGACTCTGATTTTTTAATATGTGGGTAGGTTTGTTTATTTTAAGAAAATGAAAAATTTGCATTGCTTTGTACCAGGGGATCCAATAAAGCCATCTTATATTACATAGCTCTTGTGTTTAGAAAAATTTGTAGAATTAAATGACATTCTTCAGTGGCATTCATTTGTTACATAATTTATTATTTCTACATCCTCTAGGAAGTCAAACTGTGTGAGATATGGTCAGCTTCCAATGCCTGGAAGAAGCAGCATGATAGAATGGTTGAAGAAAAGACAATGTTAGAATTTCAAACAGAAGACCTTAAGAAGTAAGCTGGAGTGTTGATAATACTTTTTATTGTTTCTGTAGTCACACAGTGTTGATATTTAGTAGTGCAGTACTCATTGATGACAATGTAAATGAGTTTATTCATATTTGGAATTTGGAAATAAGAACAAATTTATTTAGCCTTGTCTCTGCTGAATTTCACATCATCTTTTAAAGCTTTATTCCCCTTTACCAGTAAAGGTATATTTTTTCCCCTGCATACTTCTGATTAGCCTGAACTTGCTAGGTAGCTACTATGCTGCCTCTGCATAACCACTTATTTCATATCTGATTCAACAGCCTCAGTGTTAACCCTTGTGCCTACCACAGTATAGAAGAAGGTTCTTGGGCTTCTAGTTTCTACTTCAGATTAACAATGGCAAAATTATTTCTGTTTCACTAATGTCTCATCTCACTAGAGGATAGAGAAGGGCTCCTCAGATGCCCATTTCAACAGTTTACTCGTGTAAGGAAAAGCAGCACAAAATTATCCAGCCTTATTGAAACGACACAGTCAAATCTTGATGCACACAAAGGATTCATGGTCAAATATTAACAGCTTGGATTAACTTGGCTTGACTATTTTGGTTTTGTCTCAGAAAATTTGACAATTCTGAAAATATTTTCAGCATATTTTAAAATTTAACAGGAGTGCAGGTACATATTGTCAGTCCAGATACCTGTCTAGCCTCCTGTCGGTCCAGTGTATATGAGAAGGTACCTAGGAAAGAGCAAGAAAAAGGAAGCATTTATGGTGTTTGCCTCAAATACTCATTTGGTTTCCAACTGTTTCTTGCTGGCTTTATTTTGGCCAAAAATATAAGTCTTTGCTTGAAATGTACTGTTCTAAGAAGACCTGTTCTGCTACACTGTGTATGACTGACTAAACAGCAGAACAAATTTTGTTAACTGTATTAACATGAATAGCAAAAAGTGAGGCATAGCACAATTTGTTGCTTTTATATAAATTCAATATAATTCCATCTTGCCCAGCCTGTATATGCAAAATTCTCTTGAAAGTATGATTGGCTGTTCTAGATAATGAAGTTATTTATAACTGAGCTAGGACCACTTCCTTTCTTGGGATATTTAAATGCTTTCTCCCTTTTATACATATATAAATAAAATAATAGCAATGAAAGAGAATGTGTTAAGGTTCAATTTAATTTGCGTAGTGAGAGCTTTGGAAGCATTGTATGTTATACAGAAGTTCTTGCTTATCTAACAAGTCAGATCACAAGCCTGTTGCAAGACTTGGAAAGAAAGAAGGAAAGGAGAAGAAACTCAGAAGAGGAAATTCTTGGAAAGCTAAATTCTCTTAACTCTGAAAATGAAAAGATTTACCTTGAAAATGAAAAATTAAAGGTAAGATAATTATAAATCATTTTTGAATGGGTCTACACTTCTGATACATGAATGAGGTAACCACTTTAATTCCCTTTGGACTTTCTGTCTAGAGATCCCAAACCTGTAGAACAAGTTTTGCCATCCTTTTTTAGTTTTATATTCGTAAAAGTTCCTTTCAAATTAAAGAACTGAGTTTAGCTCAATTATTAATTTCAATTTTTAAACAGTTTATAGGATATGGTTTGTATTGATGTAAATGTTCTCATGAGCTGACAAATGAACAGTGGACTATCATTTTTATTTGATAGGATAAATAATTATGTCACTCCTCCTAATACCTGCAGGTCACTTGCTAGTAATATCATAATGTAGAATATGTGTTTTAATAACACCATTAAAATGTTTATATTTTCTATGTTTTAATCAAGGCTTGCATTGCTACATTGGAGATAAGTAATGCTTCTGTTGAATATGAGCTACTAAATCTGCAAGAAAAGGTGAAGCTACAGGAAAATCTTATTGAGCAATATAAAAATGAGGTAACTGGCATGTTTGAAACCTTCAGCTGTGGGGTTTTTTTTTAATTTGTAAGCAGTTTTGAGGAAATTATAAAGGTTTTGTTTGTCATAAACCAGATTTGTTGTCATGGTGATTGTAATACTGTTGTAACGTTGAGTATGATAAAAGAGAGTGGTGTTAGAACCCATATCAAAGAATAATCTCCATGCTGTTACGAGCACATGTAATCCTTACTGAAAGCAAACCTACTGTAAGACCACTGTTTGTTGTAACTAACAGTTAAAACTGAGAATCTATACAGACATGAGTTACATGTGTTTCAGCAGATGGAGCTGAATACTGGAACACAGCTAACACATTCTTAAGCATCAGAAAACAATACAAAATTGGTATGAAAATCACATTCCTCAGTTCCATGTCTCATCAAAATACATGCTCTTTTGAGCAATAAAGCTGAGACAGAGACAGGCTCTGCCTGCAATGTTCTGTTTTAGAGAACAGACTTAGTCCTCACAGAGAAGCATCTCAGGTGTTCATTTTATTTCATGCTAACTTTATTTTGCCATGATTGAGGTTTAGAATGGAGAAAAACATTTTCTGATCTGATAAATAACATTTGCACAGCATTGTAGGAGGTTTCAGATGGCATGAGGTGTTGCTGTCTTTTCAAGTACTGCAATAGTTGTATGGCCAGAACTTTGCCTGTAAGCTGCTTAGTGTGTCTGTATGCAATCTCCCCAAAATGTGTTGCTATAAAACTTAAATCAAAATTTGGGTATTGCATGATGTACTGTTAAGATTTGCATAATTGTGTTCATTATGAGTGTTAGCGAGTCATTAACGACATGTAGTCAGAGATGGAAATTTCTCCAATGGTCAACTTGTATCTTTATCAGTATTTTATAAAATAGATGATACTATGCAGCATGTATAGAATTACAGCTTTATTACTTACATGGGAGGCTATTAAGTATTACAACAAGTTTATGGTTTTACACTTACATTTTTCTCCTGTGATGCTACTGTGCAGGTGAGGGACAAAACAGAGGCTGAGTTACAGGAGTCAGAACATGTTTGTGACCTGCTGGAAACAGCTGAGGAAAAGCCACAAAGGCTTATATCCTGGGAAAGGATCCATGCAGAGAAATGCAAAGCCCCTAGGGAGCTGCAGGTTCAGGTGCTTAGAACATTCTGATTTTTAAAGATAAATGAAAAAATTATGTAGAAGAAAGTCTCTAGGACATTTTTTCCTACTAGTGTGTGTGACAGTTATTCATCCTCCTTTGTTATTTGTTTCATAAATCAAAAGCTTCTTTTGTACAGATAGCACAATGCAAATAAAACTGTTGCCAACTGTATTTATGTGAGCTCCTTATGTGATGAGACTAGTTACTTTTAGAGTGAGTATATTCTTGATCACTTTGAATATCATGTCCTGAGATGTGTTGCAGAATTCTTCCCTGGATATAAATGTGCAAGTCTAGTTATTGTTTGTATCTAGTGGAATAATTTAATTCTACATTAGTTTTGGTTTTAGTGATTAATTTATAAACCATACAATATTTACTCAGATGAATTATATCCTTGATAATGTATAAGTTTATCATTTAAATTATTATATTGTTTTAGTTGATTACATATTTTTAAAATATGCTTGACTAGGATAATTTCTATTTTTAGCAGTATATAACATTAATGCATGTATTTTCTCTTAAGCCTGAATATGAATATTCCTCAGCATTAATTTATAAACCATACAATATTTACTCAGATGAATTATATCCTTGATAATGTATAAGTTTATCATTTAAATTATTATATTGTTTTAGTTGATTACATATTTTTAAAATATGCTTGACTAGGATAATTTCTATTTTTAGCAGTATATAACATTAATGCATGTATTTTCTCTTAAGCCTGAATATGAATATTCCTCAGCTTTTCCTGTGACATGACATCAATTTCAGTGGCAGGGCTGAGTTTGGATTTTTTTGCTGTTCTCTTTTGTCTTTTTTTTTTTTATGTGCTTTTGAGTCAGAAAAGCATACTCTGCTAGCATGAATGAAAAAGGTTTTTGAATTAATAGAGTAGGAAAGGGGCTTAATCTTCTTCATGAAATGTCTTGAATTCATAAATCCATCATTGTGAAGTACTTAAGAAACAATTTTGAAGAGCAAAATTTATACATTGTATAAAATTGTTTATATCATTTTAATCTAACTACTTATTTTCCTGAAAAAGTACAGAAGAACCTCGTAAGTATAGTGAAGTAATTGGGAATATAATTAGTCTGCTGGAACAGCAGTTAAATTTCAGCATTAAGTGATGGTGATGTCCTTCAGGGATTCTGTCCCTTGACTTTATGACCAGCATTTAGGAAAATTCCTTTTGAAGCAACTGGACCATGTGCAGAAACCCTCATCTGGGTTCAGCTGATTTAGTTTCAGCTACTAATAGTGTTCTAGCTGAACAACCTGTAATTCACATAAAATCAGGCAGGTCAACTTGAATTGCTGGAGGGAACTGCTTGAGGTCGTCCAAGGAATGACTCTTGGTGCCAGGAGGCACCAGTTGATGGGGCTGTTTATTGCTGTTTGTTGCTAATCTGATGTTGATGGATTGTGCCAAGGGCAATAATCACATTGCTACTGTTACAAGATTTAAAAGAAAACACCTGAATTTGGCACTCTGGATATTGGGCAGGGGAAGACAGTTTGGCTTCTTGCTCTCTTCTGCTTCTGCTGCTGATATATCTCTTTTTGTGAGTTTGATTGTCTTTATTGATGTTCACTTTTTTTCTGAAATTCTTTGCCAGTGCTGCACTGTTCTTCTGTGATAACTATATATACATGCAGTGCTATTTTTATGCTTCCTCTGACTGTAGTTGGTGTGACCTGATTTTTCCTGGGAGGGAGACCTGATCAGCTCCAAAATACACAAAGCTTTGTGAGTGGTGTATGAAGCTTTTTAGGACTTCACTTAGTTACTTTAGGTTTCAGTCTAAAAGTATTTACACAACATTTTAATCTACTACTTTGTCTGTATTTTCTTTGTTTTAAATACAAGATAATGTTTACTTGAGTATAATATAGCATTTATCTGAAATTACAGTTAAATGGTTTGATGGAATTTAATAGGCAAACTTACCGTACTTGAGTAAGATCCTGTATATAGGTCTCTTCAACTAGAAACAAATTGTCATTTTCACAGGACAATTGTGTAACTTCTTTGGGCAGTGATTTCTTAGAAGAAGAGAACTGTACCATTCAGAAGAAATATGAAGATCTTAAAAGGTAACTTTTTTAAAGTCCAATTGAAATTAATTCCTACACTTTTCTGCTATAGTGAATTATAATGCATTAATCTGTTTTCCATAAAGGCAATTAGAAAAGGTGGAATTTCAGAATGAAGAACTTGCTCATCAGCTCAGAAAAGAAGATGAGTGTCTTCAGTGCTGTAAATTGCAGCTTGAAGAGAAAATTGCAGAATATAATGCATTAACCAGACAACTCAAATCTGCTTCGAAAGAAGGGAGAAAAATGGTATTGGTGATTTAATACATCTCTGAATCTTGTTTGCCATATTCTATTTAAAAGTAGCATTAAAAACAAATGTTCTTGAGAAAAAATCAATGGACAAGATTATTTTGCCTGTGGGGAGCAATGGTAAAAAGTTGCTGAGAATTTCTCCGTGTTTTAAACATGGATTGCATTCTTTGTTGGGTTCAGATCCTATTGAAATTAATGACAAGGTTCAGTGGACTCACATTTTATTATCCTTTTTTTGGTGACAAATTAAAATGCTTTAACCACGTAATATTAAATCCCACACATATGGCAAAAAGTTTCTGAACAAAAGCTTAATCTTGCCTTTTATTTTCTGTGGAATAAGAAGCCAACAAGAACTTTGGTGTTGAAATCCTTCTCTTTTTAGAGGAAGAGTTTGCACACTTTCAGTATAAGCAGAATTTTGTCAATTTTGCAATTTGTAGAAAGGATGCAAACAGTAAATCAGATGCAAGAGGACATGTAGGAATTCAGATCATAGTGAATTTTATTAGTTTAACCTGAAAATATGTATGAAGTGGTAATTTCAGATGAACCATATTGAAATAAACTATCTGATTTTTTCAATATTGTCTGAAGATATTTATTTGGTTTTGAAAAAAAATCACAAATTTGGCTTAAGTTAAAAGTGAGTTACAAAAGTGTTCCCTTCCCAATAATATCTTCTTCCAAACTGAAACATCTTTGAAATTTAGCCATGATATTTCCCAGGTTTGTTTCATTTCTGTGCATGGGAAACAAATAAAGTGTTAGATGAAAGAATAGGAAATAGAACTATTAATGCTAAAGTGTAAGAAAATAATTTGGTTTGGGTTTTAAGAGAATATAAATATCTATTTCTCTCTCATTACTTTTATTAGTTAGCTGAAGAACAGGAAAAAATATCATACAAAGAACAAGACTTTCAGTCAAAACTGCTGATTCTAGAAACTCAAGTGAGAGAGGGGCAAGAAGAGAAAAAAAACCTCCTCCGCATATTTCATCGTGTGAGTAAATAATACTGTTTGTGACTTAAGAAATTACTTACCACATCATTTACAAAAATATTCCTGTTCCTGCAAGCACACTAGGAATCCAATTGATACACTTTCCAGAATAGCAAATCAATTCAACTTCGCAATATAATTTATATATTGACATTTTCCATGGACTGAACAGATGCCCAATCTAACTAAATCACTTGAATAATACTGAGTTTGTATCTCATACTCAATTCAGTTTTCCCAGCAAGGCAAAAAGTTGTAATTTCCCTCTCAGATCAATCATGTTCAGTAAGTATATATAGATTTGAATAGATGCATAACAATTCCATAATAACATAGTGGTATCTTTTTTTTTTTTTTTTAGGAGCTGATTACAATAATCTGATTTTCCCTGAATTTGTGAAAACTTTCAGTTTATATACTGGTGTTGCACCTAAACATAACTAGCAAAAAAAAGAGATACTCTGATTTTCAAAGTGTCAAGTCTTTAAATGCCCAGGTTATGATATGTTGGTAGCAACCTATTCAGCAAAGCCACAGTCTAAGAAAGTATTTTGAATGACTAATATTCTCTGAAAACAAACAAGTCTGATTTATTGTTTTATCTAATCCAGAAAAGAAGTTAGGCATAGCTGAACTTCCTAGACTAGTGATAGCAAATAATTTGCTCAAAGTTCCTGTGTTCAGTGATAACAAGCTAAAAATCCATTTAAAATACATATAGAAGCCACTACAAGGTTTACTATCACACCTAGACTTTCTAAACCAACATTTTGTATTCTAACGGGAAGCACTGCAGATTAAAATCAATCCAAGCTAAATGCAAACTTTATTCAAGATCTAAATAAGACATCAGGGATTTGGTTCTGAATTCAGTGTGCTTTCATTCCTTTTTATTTGTATACACATAGCTTAATGTCTGCATTTACCCTAAAAGAGAAGTGTTCTTAAAACAGAATCAGACATTGATCAGTGCTTTGTTCTACTTCAGATATTTATTCATAGGGGTTTCTTGCTATGTTAAAGCAAAGTAGAAAATAAAGAGAATCCTTTTGTCTTTGTGAGAGGAAAACTCACGGGTCTGTTATCCAATGGTTTCCCTTTGAAGCCTGCAGTTAAAATGTAAATGTGAAAGATACGTATGTCTGAGAGAAGAACTATTCTAAATTACTTAATTAACTGAGAATGCATTATGGAAAATTAAAAAATTGTCTTATTCCTATTGTTTTAGTGAAGCTGGAAACAAAGTAGAACTGTGAAGGCAACTTAATATTCAGATATTCATCTTAACCTGAATATTTTTTTCTAATGTTCAATTTATCTCTGACAGCTATAAATCCATTTTTTTTAATGGAATTTTTTTTAACCATCTAGCACCTGAAATCTGTAAGGGACATGAAAGGAATTACCCAAATAGCTGTAGCATTGATATAACAAATGATCTCTGGTCTGCATTAGGTATGGAACTCATGAGCAGGTAATATTGCTATCAATCACCTTTTTATGTAAGGAGCTATCAGCATCAAAAATCATCTTGCATCAGAGATCAGTAACATGTTTCCTTGGAAAATCAACATGAGAGTGAGTGTTAAGCCCATAATAGGTCTCAGATGCTAGGAATGTTTCATGATAAAAATTCAGAAGGTTAGTTTTTATGTTCCCAGGCCTTTTTCGGATTATAAACCTATTCAAACATGTTCAGTTTGGTCCTGGCTGAACATAAATAAAAGCTTCAATATTTTTAGAACCTCTGGTTTTCTGGAGCTGGTGAAAGCTTTTAGAGGTAAATAAGGCTTATAAAAATTAGGTGCTGGTTGTCTTAGATTATTATTTTGGTTGATTTTTATTGCCTTTCTAAGTTGCTTTGCATTTCTCTTTTTTTCATTAGGATGAAAAGCACCATGAAGTATGTTTGAAAGAGCTGGAGAACAGCCTACAGAAGTCAGAGAACAAGATCAAGAGCATCCAGAACTATGTGCAGTTTTTGAAAGCTGCATACATGACAATGTTTGGCTCAATTGTTTGATTTGTTTAGTACAGAAGAAACTTTTCAAGATTTGTCTCTTAAGTCTTGTTGGAGGCAAAGCTGTTGAAGCCTTATATTATTTTGCAGGACTGAGTGCTATAATGTTAGTTCTTCCCTAGGAAAATATCTTTTTGGGGCAGGGAAAAGCAGGTCAGTCATTACTGTGTACCCTTCTGGCTGGTCACATATGGAAAATTTGCCTGGTATTACTGATGTAAACCATTACTCATGGAAGAGAAGTGGAAAGACAGACTGTGTGACAGTAGTGGCAGGTGTGTAAGTGTGGGGGATGCACAATGAGTTGTATATTGGTCTGGGCATTTCCCATGTCCTATGTCATGTGCTGTAAAATCTTACATGCATCCTTTTAGCCCATGGTAAATACGCATGATGACAGATCTAGACTAGTTGCATAGTAATTTGCACATTTTAATTATTCATAATTATATAGTATTTATCAGCCATTATACTTCCATTACTGCAGTAACCTAGTTGCCTGAGAAAACAATATCTAAGCTATTAAAACAGTTAAAGATTAAGAAAGCCTTAGGTTCCCTTCCTTTCTTTTCCCTATAGTTTAGCACCAACACAGCACACACTGCTGCACTGCATGGCAGAGTTACCACCATGGGGTTGTCCCATCCCATCTAGCCTTTTTCCCCTATATCCCATTATGCTCAGGAATATACTATAGTAATATTTTAGAAATATAAGTGGGAAAGTACTTTAGATACAGGTATAGTTAAAGGTGTGAATGTGCTGATCTACTCTCTCAAGGTGACACAGCTCCAGTAAGATATGTAAGTATCTGTGTTTGGGTTCAAGAGCTGCTGTTGAGTAGGACTGACTTGTGCCTCAGGTTAAACACATGTAAATATTTGGCTGATACTGGGTTAATGCAAAAACAAATTCTGATTTTGCTTTTAATTCTGAATTCTATTTGGTTTTATAGATATATGCTGTGACATGTTTTTTGAAAAGCAGTGCATTCAGTTAAATATATGTAATTTACAATGTGTACTAAAATTATATCTATTTTTGACTGAAAACATGTTAGTTCATGCAGAGACAATACCCATTTATTAAACACAGTATTTAATTGTTAGTTATTTATAACATGTTGAATGTTGATGTTCTTTTTTTTCCATTCTAGCAAATACTGACGTGCTAATGATCTGCTTGTGTGCACTTTTTAAAAATAAAATTATCATTTCTTACATATGACATGCTTGTGCCAAATACTTGTGCTAAATTTGAGAGGGTTGCATTGCACACATACACACATAAATATTTGCATTCATTTAGTTCTGCTTGTGCTACTTATAAAATATCAAAATGTTTTTGAAAGTTATCACGTATGAAGGAAAGATTTCAGAAATAAATTGTTCAATCCAGTCCATGACTGGTGTTCAACAGGTTATCATGAAAAACTGTACATTTTTCATTGATACATGATACAAAGATGCACAGCAACTTCTTTCTTTTGCTATTCAGGAAATTAGAAATTTTTCTCCTTTTTTTAGTTTGTTTTGTTTGTTTTCATGGCTCACATCACCCTTTTCTGTTTGTTTGTTTGTTTGTGGGGTTTTTTGCATGGTAGACATAGAGCTGCTAGGCACAAAGATCACTTGGTTTTCTCAGTTCCCTTTTGAACTGGTGTTAGCTGATCATGTTGTTTGCATTTTAAAATTTTTTAGCTCATTTAGAGACAAGTTTTTGTGGTTTATTTCTTTTGAATAAAGAAAATAATGAAACTTTTTCTAACTACTTAAGGATCTGGCATTTACTTGAGATTGCTGCTTGTGCTTTTAGTAACTGTGTAAAGTACAGCTAAAGTAGTTCTTGCCTTGTTCATGTTACAATATAGAAAGTTGTGTCATGCTGCAAAATTCTTGGATACAGCTATACTAAACCTACTATATTTTGGGATTCTAATATTTTTCTTTAAAGCAATTTATTTTTACTGCCTGCATCACATAGCAAAGTGACACTCAGTTTTCTAGTAATAAATAGACTAATTATGAGTGTATTTCTGGAAGTTTCATCCCTAGATGACTTTAGAAGCCCTTGGCAATGATGGTACTGCCAGAATCTGACTCTTGGCCTTTTTTTCAGATGTGATTTGGGTTTGGCATTTCACAAAAAAAAAAAAAAAGCTGAATATGCTGTTGCAGTTTTCAAATACAGTCAGATATCTTACTTACATAGAAGTAATCTCACTGCTATGAGTATGGGCAGAAAAACTACCAAAACAACAGTTCCTAGTCTGTACTGTACTTGCTTATGTGATTTTATTTTCAGTCAGGTAGTGTTGATTCACAGGGCCCTTAGTGAGCAGGAAGGTTTCTCTTCTGCTGCTCAGAAAGTCCTTGGCCAGAAAAATCAGCAGAAATCAAAGATTCTGTATAAAGGCTTGTCCATGCTTTCAAATGCTGAGTTCATCCATTTGAAAGAGATTTTAGCTGGGTAGGAACAGAATAGAGAAAGAAAAAGATACAAAGATTAAAGCACTAGTGTTCTCTATCCCAGTGTATTTAGAAGATTTCCTAGTAAGAAGTCATTTTTTACCACAGGCTTACTAAGGTACACAGTAAATGTTATGCATTTTATGTGTTGAAGGATTTTTCGGGTTTGCTGAGATTTGGTGGTAATTTTTCACAAAACCTGACTCAGTATGATCCAAGGTACATAAGAGATACCATGGCTGAACTGAGTGTTCTTGTAAATCAAATCAAAGCCACCTACAATGTTACCATTTCCCCCTGTGTCTGTATATTGCTTCTTTGCTACTTATATTAAATAATTAATTAGATTTTTTTTCTAAAGAGTTTTCCAGTTAAGGCTTAAGTGTGATTGCTATGGCCCTGCTTTTGTGGAGAGACTCTGCCAGGAGGATGTGCACGATTGAAAAGGAGACTGCAGTTACTGGCTGCCCAGCACACACAGGAGGTAGTCAAGATTCAATGAGCTATTAGGCTAAGGACTATATGCTCTACAGATTGTGAGCAGCATGTTATGTGCACACCAGGCAGGCAGCAGTTGGGCAGTAAGAATCAGGTCTGGGAAACAGATCCCACTGCCTCGTGACTTTCAAAAGTGCATTTTAAAGTGCAATTCAGAGATGGCACTGTGTTTAAATCTGTGTGTGACCCTTGTCAGTGCAGGGTACACTGCTGCATGTATTTCCTAGTGGGACAAGATTTCAGAGCTGTAAGAATAATCTGTTGACAGATTCACTTTCTAGCCAGTACATTTCCATTTCAATCATAATTGCAGAGCATTAATAAGGTTAAATTGCAAGTATGTAGAGTCCTGGAACTGGCAAATCTTAAAGATACTCAAGAGCTGACGTGGACTCCCTACTGCAATCCTTTATCTGTGATAAAATGGACAGGAACACATCACTGCCTTGTTTCTTGGTAGTTTTGAGAAAGAAAGGATTTGGAGTAGAAGATAATTATGGTATCACATGCTTTAGATTTGTTAATGTATGGGAACATAGAATTTAAAGAAGCATAAGTCTTAGGGCTACTTAGCTTATTAGTGGGTTAAGGTTCTTTGATCTATGGCACAAAAACTGCTTTAAATTCTATGGCAAGATGGTATCTTTCTGGTAAGAGCAGGGACACTCAATATTTTCTCTCTAGACACATGCCTCCTGGAAGGATATCTTTATAGAAGACACGCAGTCATCACTGAGCTCCATATGGATGATTCCTCAGTGGAGTGTGATAGGTTCCTAGCACAGCATTCATTTTGAGAAGCTCTTTTGTCTGTTTAATGGTGAATGAAATCAACACTTAGATATCTGGGAAAATTTTAAGGAGAGACTGAAAATATGTAACACAAAATGGCTCCTGTTGGAATCATGTCCAGTGTCCTGACTAATAAAAGAGTCAGATTAGAATTCTTTGTGACAAAATCACTTTGTCAGTGATTTTCCTACAGGAAAAATGGCCAGGCTTCCTCTGGTGACAATCTGTTTAGCAGCATAACATCTGTGTACAGCCCTTACTGTGCTGGGGGCCTAGAGCTAGCCAGCACAAACAGGGATCAAAGCAGGGCCCCAAGGAAAGGGTTGTGCAGGGTATAAAGTAGACACAATGATTTCATAGAGATTTTATTTTTTCTTGCTTTTTCAATGGAAGTTTCCTGTGGATAACTTTAAGGCTGACATAGCCAGAAAAGTGAGAGCACTGTGTTGATGTCCTCTGATTGGGAATTCAAGCAGTCAAAACCATGAAATTATTGCAGTCACACAGGTCAACCTGTTTTGCATTTGGGTTCATAATATTTTCTTGTCTACTTCTGGCTGAACAACAATCAGATAGCAGTTGTCACTCAGCAGCAAAGCTTCCAAATGTTTGAAAGTGGAGTGAGTTTTATATTGCTATCCCCATCTATCTGCATCCTTCATGATTTCTGATAGAATGCTGTTGGCTTGCAACATTTGGATAAGGATTTTGCAGCTACTAACAGTCCAAAGGCATATAATCCTAGTGACAAGTAAATCATCCCCACTAGAGAAATCTAGTGTCTTCAAAATGCTGATTTTATTAGAACAATAATATTGTTTCCAGGAAGTAACTGACTTTTTTGAGTGTTTGACATACGTGATTAACATATCATAATGCTTTCATGGCAGATTAATCTACTTCATTAAAAAGCAATAGGAAAAGAGATGTTTTTATGTGTAGAGGCTGCTGCAATCTTGCCTTGCTTTTGCAGCAGAATAAACATAGCATTTGGTTGGCTGTAAAACTGTACCTTCCAATTTATCGACAACATAAATGTTTCATATGCCACTCTCCCTTTCGGTGGTACTACTAAAATTTGAAACCAGGTCTTACTGGTTAAGCTTTGCATGCTTTTCATCCATTTCAATCTTTCAAACAAATCTTTGATAACATCTAATTTCTAGAGTAGCTGTTACACATCCAACAACCATCTCCCAATCTCCCATCAACGTGTCAGGCATGCCGAGCCCTTGTTCATTATCA